GTTTAGGGTTTAAGGTTTTGGGTTTGGGGTGTAAGGTTTTGGGTTTTGGGTTTAGGGTTTAGGGTTTAAGGTTAGGGTTCAGGGCTTAGAGTCTAGGGTTTAGGGGAGCTGCCTTGAGATTCATCTTAGTGGTTCCCAGTAGGGAAGAAGAGAATATGTTATATACGGATTATGGGTTTAGGGTTTAGGATTTATATGGCCCATTATATGGGGATGATATTCCTGTACTCCCTACTGACAACCAGCAAGTCATGGGTACCCAAACCTTATTCACGGATAACCTGGAATTATAGCTAGGTTCCAAACTTGCTTGGGGTGCTCTACAAACTACTTCCCATGGACATCCAAGTAAAAGATGGGATAGTTAGAAAAGGCCCTCTTCTGCAATGCATCCTAGGCTTGAACGGTTCTCAGGCGATGCCTTCCCAAGCAGTGGGCCCTGGTTCAATACCAAGTTTGGCTACAAAATTGACTCCACCTTTGGAAGCTACGCTCGTGGCTATGTAACACTGATGTACCCCTACTGTTAATGATGGAAATTTTGCACCACCCAAACCCCTGAACGACTGTAATTCCAGTGTTGTTAGGGACTTAAGGTGGTGCAAGATTTCCTTCATCAGCAGTGAAGATTTCCTTCATCAGCAGTATACTCCCCGAAGTATCCTTGATTGCACCTACTTAGCCTTGTGTGGTCCCCATACCCTGCCCCCTTGTATGTGGAGATTCTACTGGATATTATAGGGGTGAAGGATCATGTAACTAGAGCTTCTAAATCTCGAGCTAAATTCCATGATTCAGCAACTTTGGAAGTGCTGGGAAGAAAGTATTCAAAAGCTCCCAAAACCCTAAACCCTCAAACCTAGGTATCCATTTGGCCAAATATAAGTACTATCTACACTAGTAAGCAGCAACGACTATAGGATATCCTTATCATCTGCCTATAACTTGGGATTTCCAACTTCTTTCGCCTCGGACTCGTAGGCAAGGGCTGAGAATAAAGCAAAGTCGCTGACGCTCAGCAAATGTTGCCTGTGTGATACCAGGTACATATGAGCCATAATCCAAACTCCTAGCATCTCCCTTAAACCGATATAGTAGTCCCCTACATAATCCCCTATATAACCCCCTTTAAGGAGTTTAGACTATGGCTCATAATGGGCTAAGGGTTTCGGCTTCAGTTTTAAGGTTCTTCGGTTTAGAGTTCCGGGTCAAGGTTTGGGGGCTTAAGGGGTTTTGGGGTTTAGGGTTTGCGGTGTAGGGTTTGGGCACTACAGTAAGACGACATTTGAAAGGAGTTTCATTGTTTGGCGGTCACAGGGAGTACATGGTACATGTCAAAGTATACGGCTTGTAACAACACACTATCCCAGAACCCCTAAAAGATCCAAAAAATGGAACCCCTTACTAATCCCCTAGGTTCCCCAATGTAGTAATGGAGCCGTTTTGGGGGGGTCCTCTTTTTGGATCCTTTAGGGGGTCTGGGATAGGTCCACTTCTGTAGGTCGGGGGGATAAGGAGTACATATCGTGTTGAAAGTTAAAGGGGATAACGGGAGAATGCGTTAGGAATGTGGGTAGGCACATTGCGACACATTGCGCAAAACACAAGTAACCATTACGTAACAACTATGACATGAGACGGGGGTCCTGTTGCGTAGTTTAGTAAAGTCCCTAATCTATGCCCTAATACGAACCCTAAACCCTAAACCCATGTCCACAAATTACATGAGAAACATTGATGATGGCTCATAGAAGTCGCTGTGATTGCTTAGCTCGATTCTGCCCCAACCTGTTGTAATAAGAGGGCTTTGCCAAAGCCCGAGCCTCAAAGGAGGATTCTGATATATGGTTTAATGATTATGGTTTATCATCACAATAGGGTCCAAATTTTGGATGTTGAAGTTACCCACATCCACTGATTTTGTTGTTTTTTCTTTTGGTCCTCGGCCAGGTCTAAGGTCGAATTTGTGGTGTTCAGATGAGCTAAGTCTAAGCGCCTAGTATCTCCCATAGTATCTCTCATAGTCGTCCCCTATATAGTCCCCTAAGTAATCCCCCTTTAAGGAGTTTAGACTATAGCTCAGATAGCCTAGGGTCTCGGGAAGGCTCTTGATATCAATGCGCCAGAACGCTATCTTACTTGCTCTTTCTTAAGCATCATGCAGCCTCGCAGCGTCCACGCCCGCTCAAGCAAGCATCTTTTTGTCACAAAGAATTAAGATACCCTGAGCCCTTCAACCCGTGATCTGTAATTTCAAATTTTTGTCATGAGTTCAGAGGCAACCGTACATGTGCTTGGAGGTGTCAGGGCGTTTAGTAACGGGGCTGTATGAAGGGAAACCCAAAACCAAAACTCCACTCCAGTCAGTGTATTACACCGAATAATCCAGATGAGCCCTATAAAGTACCCTAAACCCTAAATAATAGCTTCCATTTTCCCCTAGAAACCCCTATATTGCCCCTATATAACCCTAGAATAGTAGTCACTTACCTCCAAGCAGCCCCGACATGCTAAAGTATTCGACTCAGGACGGAAAAGAACCCACTCAAGTTATCACCAGGCTAACCTTAACGATCCCTCGGTAACCCTTATATTGACAACAGCTCATATGAGCTCTAGGAGTCATACATGATGCTCTCATGGTACATTCCTGAAAGGACAGTCCCCCTTAAGAAGAGCACTTGCGAGGTAGGGTCCCCCTTAAGCAGATAGAATATGCCTTTGAGTTTATTGAAATAAGATCCCCATATCACCCACATTCTATCTGCTTAGACGGGAACCCAGAGGTTACTAAAAGGGTCTGTCCTATCGGGGGGTCTCTGAAGGATTTACCTGGGGGCTCTTGGTTTGGTAGGGCTTAGAAACCGTTATGGGGCGTACTGAACAATATTCTGAGTGACACTGCTCCCAGGAAGTCCAATATCCCTTGATTACAGAATATACCCTGAATTATATTAGAGATCCTTAATATGATTTAAAGTCTGCCGACCTTGGGGGGCGTGTTGGATGGTTGCCGAAGGCGGAGAGGGTGAAAACCCTCTTCCTTTCTCCCTTACAGCCCCAAAACAAGGGGGGAGGGGGGGGGTAGGGGGGGTATCCCGGCTTCGTTTCCCTCCAGGTCCCCACCTCCGAAGCAGCCGTTTCAGCCGACACCCACGCCTTCGCCAGGCTCCCACCAGGACGTT